GACATGTGTGTATTTTGAAAATTTTCAAACAAAGATAGCCGCAAAAATAACTAAATGCATGTTTTTTTAAAAAGTCAATTTCTAAACTACTATCTAAAGTGATGGATATAACGATAGAGTTTTCAGGCTGTTGTAAGCCCTGGAGATCCTGCCAAGAACAGTCATTTAAAATGGATTGCACATGTTAAGAAGTACATTATTTTTATTTTCTGAAATTACTGCAGCTTCTGGTTTTAAAGGCAGCACACAGTTACCTTTTATTACGACATTTACGTAGCCTAAACCCCACGATTTCCTAATAAACTGAACTGTCCTGGCATGGGCGTATTGTCTTTAGGTATGGAAATTCTGAACGTGACAACAATCGTCACAACCGTCATAAACTATTTATATTAATTACCCACCCCTTTATAAAATTGAAATTATTTGTTGTGTTGTTTGCTTACTCATCTACGACAAGAATTGTTTTTAAAACCTTTTGTTCCTCATCTAAAAACTGTTTTTCCTCTGGGGAACCTACAAAAACTTTTTAGTGGGTACAATGGCCTCAACGAAACTGCTATTAAAAATAGCGAATAATTTATTACAACAAGAAAAACGTTAACTTCGGTGATACAGAAGCTATAACACCCTTCACAAACACAAAAGATTCCATACAAGAACTGGATTTTGATCGTTCAGTTTGTATGACAGCTGTATGCTATAGTAATTTGATCTGAACAATTTCTTCGGCGATTAGATTACTGCCTTAAATAATAATCCATGCCAAATTTCGTGAAAATTCCTCGTCAAATGAAAGAGTTTTCCATACAAGTACTTGATTCCGATTGTTCAGTTTATATGAAAGCTATATGCTATAGTGATTTGATCTACACAATTTCTTCGGAAATTGGATTATTGCCTTTAACAATAATCCATGCCAAATTTCGTGAAGGTATCTCATCAATTGAAAAAGTTTTCCATGCCAGCACTTTACTCCGATCGTTCAGTTAATATGGCAGCTTTATGCTATAGATACAAGCACTTGTTTCCGATTGGTCACAACAATAATACAAATATTTTCGGTCAATATTTTTGTCAGTTTGTTTAAGTAATTATTATTCAGTTAGCTTCAGCGGTTCGAAAAGTATGTACATTACGCCATTTAGGGGATGGGGCTACACCCATTTTTAAAAACATTTCAGCCGATAGGTGTTCCTTGTTACCGCGACCCCCAGTACCAAATTACAGTTTGGTATCTTATTTAATTTTATTTTCTCTTATTATTTCATATATATTGGTATCTCACTTATGGCAGTGGTCAATTAAAATCTGCAATACCGACCTTTCTTAGGTGCCAAAGAGCATATGTAGAAAGTTTCATCAAGATATCTCAATTAATACTCAAGTTATCGTTTGCACAGGACAAAGTTACAAACATACAAAGGAAACTAATAAATGCCTTTTAAAAAACATATTTATTTACCATTAACATTGAAAAAAAGGCCGTGACATTGAAACACCTAACAAATTAACTAAATTTTGAAAATTGGTACCCTGGTCGAAAACAAAATGCCAAGGAGGAAGCTCGGGAGCTTTGCCCATCATCGCTTTCCCATAGGCGATGCAAGCAGCCAGACAGCAATTTAAGCTATTTCATTGTGACCAATATGCTTTTGCGACTGGGCTTCCTGCAACTATTTCTTCACTCGTTGTACATTGGTTCAACTCCAATTCATGCATTACACCTTGCAAACCTGGATATTTTTGCAAAAACTCATCCACTTCAGCATCATTTTCATTTTGCTCTTCCGACTGTGAGGACCCTTGAACTGGTATACACACTTCCTGTTCTGTCAACCGGGGACACTTGTGCAAGTTTCTTTCTCTTCTGACTGTGAGGACATCTGGGCTGGGATACACGCTTCTTGCTCACCCAACTGCTCTTCCTGTGTTGATATACATATGTGTCCCGTGCGCCACCAACTGTGCTGACATACAATCCGCCAATCGTTTTAAACCGTGCTGACAAACGCTTCCCATGCGCTTCGAACACTGCTGACAACCGCACATCCAACTGCGCCAACATTTGTGATGACACCTCTGCCATTTATGAGGTCACCTGCATCACTATTCGTGACATTTTCGCTGCCATTTGCATTAACACCTCCGTTAACATCTGCGACATTGCAGCCAATCATGTCCATTTCTCAAAAAGTCGTCTACCTTGCAACTCACTCTTTAGTTCGATCATTGGATTGTTAAATGAAAGTCCCAATTTATTGACTATAAACTTAACTTTATTTTAAATTCCAACAACTTAACGCTTAATTTTTCATTTTACGGACTTACAACTTCTTACTTAAATCTCAGTTGCTCTTTACACGGCATCACTCTAACTAGAACTGTACCTGCTGCACAATCCGGCAGCCCTTATGTAGTAGATCATTAACAAAACTTCGTCGTCGAATCTATTTTGCTCTAGCATTCGTGTTCACCACACTATTTTACAACTATCATAAATATTCAACGATAAGTCACTACTTCAAAATAATTTAAGATTGAAATTTCGATATATCGAAAACTATCCAAACACATATTTTAACACTTGTTAGTATTATCAAAAACTTATTTTTAACACTTTCACACTTAAATATACACAGAACTACAATTTTAATTGCACTTTAGCGCATTAAAAATAATTACATTTAATTAGGCATTTTAGGCCTAAAGTTAAATAAATGTAATCAAATTTCAAATATTTTATTAAGTTAATATACCTACAATAGTTTTGCAAACAAATTTTCACGCAAAACGATTTTGACGCGACACTATCAGCAAAAAAGATCAGCTAGACCTAGCTAGCATAGTAACGGCAAAACTCAAAAAATAAGAGTGAACAAGAAATATAAAAAAAGCAAAAATGCACATATAATTATTTGTATGAGGTATACTTACAAGTACACAAGCTGCGTACTATTTTTAATACGCTTTTATAAGTTTCCAGAACAATTACAATTTTCACCAGTTTCTAGAAGTCTGATCAACTTGAAACTTTGCAGACGTGTCAAAGACCGATGACAATGCAATAATTTGATAACAGGTTCCCATTACTTTAAAGGTGGGCGTAACCCCGCCCCTAAATGGCTTAATGTATATATCTTCCAAACCGCTACAGCTAACTCAACCAAATTTGCTGAGAGGAAGTCCTTTTAGCTCTTTTTCATACGCTGTGAAAATCAGATAATAACTACGCCCACTCCCCATATAACAGTTATGTTAAAATATACTAAAAATGCGATACCTGACGAAATAAATGCGCCATAAGCATTAATTTTTACAAACAAGATGGTAGGGAAGAGCTTTATAGGAGGAGGTTTAAAAATTCCTTTAAAGCGTGTTTTTTTAGTTTTTTAAACTATAATTTATTATTACACTCTCGCAACCATTTGCTACAGAGTATAGTAGTTTTGTTAACGAACGGTTGTTTGTATCACCTAAAACTAATCGAGTTAGATATAGTGTTATACATAATATAATATATTATATATAAATGATCAGGATGAAGAGACGAGTTGAAATCTGGGTGACTGTCTGTTCTTCCGTCCATCCGTCCGTCTGTGCTGTAACTTTAGTAAAAATTGAGATATATGTATGAAACTTGGTACACAAATTTCTTGGTGTCGTAAGACGGTTGGTATTGCCACGTCCACAAAACGCTATTAATCAAAAACAAATAAATTGTCATAACTAAGCGCCATATAAGATTCAAGACTGTTATTTGGTATACAGGATCAAGTTAGAGAGGGGCAGCTGCAGTTTAAAATTTTTTTAAAAAGAATTCGTGGTCCCGCTCCCTAATAGGTTTAATGTGCATATCTCCTATACCGCTAAAGCTATAATAATGAAATTCATCACTGTGAAAATGGGTGAAATCGGGTGACAACTCTGCCCACTCCCCATATAACGGTACTGTTAAAAACTACTAAAAGCCCGATAAATCAAGCACTAAACACGCCAGAGAGATGAAAACCCATATCAAAAGATCTATTCATATAACCAAATTTAGTATGTAATATTATTTTGACATTTCTATGTTTTTGTGCGAAAATGGGACTATTTTTAATTACATCGATTCTTTCCACTATGCAAATCAAGCAAAATATATAAAGAAATCTCAAACGAGTATACCGTTTGACTTTGCGAGAGTATAAAATATTCGGTTACATTCGAACTTAGCCCTTCCTTGCTTGTTTTTATTTGTTATTCTTCATATAAACAAACGTTACAAACGGAGAAAAAAATGAGAAATGTGTCCAGTCGAATAATAATTTTGCGGGGTTTCAATCTGGACAGCTCTTTTTTTCCAATTGCGAAAAGTCAAAATCTTCTGAATACAGTCAACTGTCAAAGATCAGGAGGTCATCACTTCCAATGACATGACAGTTATACATCTCTTTATCTCTGTTGTCGTACACAAAGAGCAACGTGCTCTTTCGACGGCAACAGCCCGCGAAGACCAACACTATATGGGCGCGAAAATTAAAAATGATCAAAACGCTATAATTGCTTTAAAAACCAATATTTTCTATTTTAATCGTCCTTTCTCATGTACTCTTATATTTGCTTGAATACCCAGAATATATCAAGAAAACCCTATGCGCAAAATCAAAAATTTTTTGTTGACCTGTGTTATTTTCGATCGTTGATTCGCTTTGTTTCACGGTAAGCGCACCAACACATTCTCATTCTGTAGGGCACGATTGATTGTGTGTAAGTGTTCGTGTAAAGTCAGCTTACAAACGAGCACTGCTCTAAATACCTACCTCATAACTATTTGTTTTTCGTTGTTAGCATTTCGATTGTTCGAAAAAATCGTTTTTATAAGAGCTTCTTGCAGTAAATTTTTTTCCCACATTTGTGCCTATATATATATTTATAACTACATATGAATGTATGTAGTTAGAAGGAATTTGGCTCTTCTATTATAAAACGATCAGTTTATATATATGTATTTTTAGGCAGAAAAATATTTTAGGAATGAGAGGAATACGAAATGATATTACAAAGCTGGCGGCTATTCGGAGTTTCAGTAATAATCATTATTTATATATGCAGCGTGTTATTATTTTCAATAAATAGTTCACCTCGCTCAAATCAGAAAAATGAACGCATCGAAAGATTTGCTGAGGTAAGTAATCTCCTAACAGATTAATAATACATTTATTTATAATATTAAAAATATAGTTAGAGTGTTTAGAGATGTAAAAAAAATATGTATTGATAAAAAATTCTTCAAAAGAACTCGGGAGACCCTAAACTACTATATGCGTATGTATTTTTTTCACTAGTTTTAAATGTAGTTTCGGTCGTCATACATATCTAGTAAAACTGAGCCATTTCACCCATCAATCCCTAACATTACAAATAACTTTAAGGCTTGAAGTCTTAAATATTTATTTTTTTTATATTTGCTAAAACGAGATCTGATTTGTGGGATTAATACAATATATTTTTGATATATGTACATATGTATGTTAAAATTTTATATTTTATTACTGATAGCATTCCCACAAATTTTAGTTTTACATTATACCGAAAGCATCCAATATCGATAAAGGTTTTTAATAACTGGGCAATTTCAGTTCGCCAATTTTCATAACAGTCGTTTCCGTGGTTTCACATCCAAAGCTAATATACGCTGGTGTAACGGCCTTAAGTATCTCAAGACAGACCCACCTAATTACATGATTACAACCGTTTCTGCTCAAAGCACTAACAAAGGTAAGTTTCCATACGTATGTATATATGAGTGTATAGTAAATAGTTGTTTATTTTATTAAATATTTATTATTGACATTCAAAGAAATTATAGATAGAATACGGTCATTCGTTATATATATGTATATGAACTCAATGTTATTCTATGAATGTACATACAAGAATTAAATTTTAACGCTTAACAATATATCTTATAACTTCGGTTTTATTTTAATTTTTGTTCCACAGGCTTTTCACTTCATTAGCATAAAAATATAGTTATTTATCAACGTTCATAAAATACAAGATTATGACAGCCGTTGAAGTCATCGTCATACCTATGTAGGACGTATTTGTTGTTGTTTATATTACGGTTTATATAGATGTGGCTACCTCACGTAGCTTTGGTATTGTAGATGGGCATTATCGGACAACTGCCACGCCCACAAAACGCCATTTATCGAAAGCCTATAAAGTGCCATAACAAAGCACTAAACTAAGATATAGAACTGCAATTTGATACAGGGAGTTGCAGTGAAAAGATTTTTAAAAAGTGTGCGTGACCCCGTCCTCTAATAAGTTTAATGTATATATCTCCTAAACTATTGAAGCTATATGACGCAAATTTGCACAGAATAAATATGTTTGACTCCTTCGACAATGTGAAAATGGATGAAATCGGATGCTAATCCCGGCCTCTCCCTATATAACGAAAACTACTAAAAGTGCGATAAATCAATAACTAAATTCTTAAGAGACATTAAGTTGAACATCCAGGATGGCCAAAGGGGGCTTTATATATATAAATCACATACCTCGGTATATAACGTTCCTCTGACATTCTTGACATATAATTCTTTGACTTTCCAGTATACAAATCAACTACCAAAGAATATATCGGGGCAAAACTTTGAACAAATAGTGCCTTTGAGGTATACCATCTCAAGTCTAAAAATTGTCAAAAATGTATAGGGAGAGATTCTCTTTTTGATAATAGTATGCCTGTATGTCAAAAATGTTCAATCCATCAGGTCAATACTTATCAAAACTTAGTCCTTATATACTCGTACCATATTGAAATATTTTCGAACTTCCGTTTTACTTCATTACATACACTTATGGATAAAATAATAGGTGTACACAGTTTTTATTAAAAAAGCATTTAAAACAATTTTGTTTTAGACATATTTACGCTTTACTTTATTAAACATAAATATGTGGAAAATTTTTCATTCCGAATTTTAAAACTTAAATTTTTTTCAAAATAAGAAATATCATTTGTCAAAATAATAGGTGTAAAATATTTTTTTCTAAATAAAATCAAAAAAATTAAGGTTATCCTGTTTTCGGTCCATGGATTTTTGATAATCTGTATGTCCTCCGTGGTTTTTCATTAAAACCGGCGGACAGTTTTTATATAACCATTTCCATAAAAATTAATCTTAACTTCGTCACTGAATATAATATTTCGCCATTTTTTTCCAGTAGGACCGCACTAATTTTTATTATCAGCGGCAAAAGCTTTTCGCTTCTGTATGTGAACCTTTCTTAGAAGAGGAAGCCAGAAAACTTTATGCCCCGGTATTACCGTTCACTAATCGACGCCGAATTGTCCGTGGGTTAACAATTAAGTCCATCTTCAGTCACAAAAGGGTCCTTATTTGCCATGAGTATACGGCGTTCATCAATCAGGCCAGTTTTTCTTGGACTACCACGAGTTCCCTTTTTTTGTTTTGGAGCATTAGTTAAAAAGTTCTTCGACCTCCCTAAAGTATTTGGAATGAATTTGTACGTTTTTCCTTCATCCCGCAATTTTTTTACCAATCGATACTCTACATCGGTACAGTGGCTTTTACGACCCATTCTAAATAATTTCTTGTTTTTAGTTTATGGTGTTCAAAGGAATAAAAAATTACAAATACTCCAATACCTACGTTAATATGAAAAATACTTCGAAATAACACTTATTTTTTAAAACATATTACTCACACCTATTTTATTGGCCAACCAAATTTAATGAAACAATGATAACTTGTCACTCAAACGCAAAATTAACAAAATAGTAATGCGATTTGTTGATACTTATGACTACACTTTCGCCTTCAACGTAAAAATGTAACGGTATCAAAAAAAAACAAGTTACAACACCATTTGGCTAAAAAACAGTACCAGCTAAATGCACACGCATTATAAAATTAAGTGATGTATCAGTGCATTTTTGGGCCTAAAATAAGTAAAATCAGATGAAAACTGGCCCTAGCCCCCATATAACTAATCACATAATTTTCAAACATCCGGTTGATTTATATTGGTGATGATATGTGAGGAATTTTAATGAAACTCCGGAAGCATTTTATTCTGTTAATAGTATGATGTAAAAAAGATAAAATCGGATCAATACTACCCCTATTTCTCATATAACTAATATAAGATTTTCAAACTTCCGGTTGGCTTTATTCCATATATATCAGTCAAAATGTAAATTATCTTAGCAAAATTAACTGAAACTATAATTATGAATTTACTACAGTTTAATGCCGAAAATATGTGAAATACACGAATTACTCTAACTCCCAAATAACTTTCGCATTCTAAAAAACTTTATGCCGAACCTATCGTTCAATGTGTGAGTTACATATTTATAAAATTGCTTGAAAATATGTATAATATACACTGTATAATAATTTCCGACTTTCCAGCTGTCAAAATGTGTGATACTTTAAAAAAATAAATGAACAAGTTTTATGAAATTTTGTGTGGGAATATGAATGAAATTGATATAGACTTTGGTCCAAACCTGATATCCCTAAAATAATGAATTGCGATCCTCTGGTCGACGTTTTCACATCAACTCATTATATGGTATTAAATTAAGCCTCTTTATTTGAGTTTATATCCCATATGAAGTTGATTTTAATACAATTTTAGCTAAAGGGAAATAAAATATTGTAATAAAACTAAGTGAATCAATGATCTATAATATATCTATAATATAATACAACTTAATATGTTAAATTGTCTTGCAACATTTTTTAATATAAAGTTTTCCTAACACCTGAAGTTATTTTCCCTGATTTAATCCTTGCAAGTTGCAAGAGTATAAAATGTTCAGTTACACCCGAACATAACCCTTCCCTCTGCATCGCAATAGATAACCGAAAGCTTTTTTAAACTTTAATTTGTGTGAAATCTTAAGAAAAGTAAAAGGAAAACGTGTAGAAAGGATTTCTGTGATATACTGATACAAAGATAGTGTAAATAATATCTTATTATCCAAAATTTTACATGATGTTAGTTTCCTCTGTCTTAAGTTTGGCAAAGTTGTGCGAAATTTTAAAATTCAAATTTCTTCATAACATTTCTATCACACACACGAATTTTGTCGATAGCGATTTTTGCAAAATTTAAGGCTCTTCCACTTCAGAAACGCTCTTGATCTGTGTATGATGTGTAGAATCCGTGTATTCATGTTCGTCGCGCTCGCCACGAATTTATAAATTTTATAACGGATTTGACTAATTTAAATATGTCATTCTTTCAAATGTCCTCAGGCAAATAGCTGTTATTAGTTGCTGTGTATACATTTTTTGTCAAAAATTAAAAAGTTGTTGTAAATTGGAACAATTTTAAAGACTAAAATAAAATTTTTAGATACAAAACTAATTAACATATCTGACACAAATTATTATCAATTACTTACAAGTACATTATCAGTTTATAGCTTTTTTTGATTAATATTTTAAGCTGTTTCAAAGATAAAGGAATACATACATAGATATTAAAAAGACTATGGCAACCAACCATTTTGAACAAACTTCGTCATCAAACATCCGATTTCAAAGTTTTCGTAACCTTGTATTTTATGAACGTTGATAGGGAACATGCTTTAAAAACGCAATATATAAAGTACGAAAAGGCCTTCGTCAACGAAAGAAAGTTACTTTAAATTGATTATTCAGAGAGTTTATCAGAGTTACTATATTACTATTATAGCGGAGAATGTTAATGAATTTTAATTTTATTAACACTATCTGATTATAGTGCATCCAATACACAAAGTTCTTTTCATGTCGATCTCTGCTTCACTTGTTTGTATATTCCTCCCTTGAGTTACTGTTGTCTTCACCCTTCAACTAAAATGGAATGTGTGGTACACAAATTAGGAACAAGTGATTCGACAAAGAAAAATATATTCTCACATAAATCATCAGTAAATGGGTTTTATTTTTTAGTTACAACTAGTGAAGATACTAAATATAGTGCTGTATATCGAATAACGGGTCTGACTGCTCTAGCATCATTTCCAGGCAGTGGCAACACCTGGCTTAGATATTTATTGCAGCAAGCAACTGGTAATTAATGAAGTATTTTAATATCAAATATAATTTACGAATAAATTGCTACAGCGGTTTTTACACGTGATTTCTGAACATATCGTTTTTAATTCATAGGGATTTTAACGGGGAGTGTCTACAAAGATTATGGGTTGTTGAAGACTGGATTTCCAGCAGAAAATGTACGTAATAACTCTGTATTGTTAGTCAAAACTCACGAATTCGGCCCTAAAGCATGGGAACCATTTACTAAGGCCATTTTACTGGTACGTGACCCAGAGAAAGCGATATTGGCAGAATTTAATAGACAAAGCGGCGGTCATATTGGATTTGCATCTCCCGATCGTTATAAAAGAACTAAAGGAAAATGTAAGCAATATATGGAAATTTCAACATTATGTAAGGAATCGAGAGTTATTTGTTATTATTATTTTTTTAATTTCAATTGACAATAATGAATATATACATTAACCAAAAAAAGTAATAATTAAGGTGACAATAATTCACGAAATAAACTCATATTATAAAAGACCAAACATTATCAAATATTCTAAATTGTTAAAGGCAGAATTTTTTTATTCACGCAAAATATTGCAGAAGAAAGTAAAATAACATTGTTCACCTTGTTTGGATTGTTGGTATAACTAAAACTAATCAACATAAAGTATGTTAGAACAAGGTTTTATACATATGGACATACATATATCAAAATGGTCAAGATGATAATTGTCATTTCTATGATAATTTCCAAATAACTGTCTGTTCGTCAATATGTCAGTCCTTTTGCGTTCTTAAAAATAAAAGTGTGAAAACATGTACTATATAAAGGACTTAGTCCCTGAGAAGTACCACTCTTACTACGCCATTATGCACCATGACAAAAAGTTCTTATAATATTGGAAACAATTAGAAAATGAAGAGATAATCAAAACATCAATGCATTTTGAATGGATTTCGTCACATGGAGAAACTTTGTAATATAAAATTTCAAGTAAGGTCAACATGTCTTAATACTAATATTTACTAGTTCGAAGATAGTGATACGTAAACTTTATAATTATATCCCTCTTCTCATTCGTATAAATAAATCTTTCTTTGAGTCACTCATAAATTCAGATTTTTGTTTGCAGATTTTTGGCAAAAATGTCGTTATGCAGTTTTCTGACCTTTATTCTAGAAACATATATTTATACACCTCTATATTTATAAAGTATATTTGAATTCATATATTTTTTGTTTTTCAGATTGGCAGAAGTTCGTACTTAAGAACTTAAAAATGTGGGAAGCGACTAATTTAAGCTGGGCACGAGACTTCTCGGGCAACATCAAGGTTGTATTCTATGAGGAGTTGGTTGGGAATTTAGAAGTAACTTTAAGAGGAATACTTAATTTTTTAGAGTTTCCTATTAATGAGGTAACAACAACTAAAAGTTAATGATATAAAAACATAACATCGAATTTATTGTTGTAGTATTGTAGCTGTTACCAAAGTGAACTTTGATGTATGTACATATGTACACTGCCCTTCATCAGATTAGCACACTACAGTTTTGAATAGTTTTGGTTATTAACGAAACTATTAAATAAAACAACAATTAGTGTTTCACCTTATTTCCATATTTTTTAATAATTTTTTCGAAATCAACAAAAATAGTAGCAATTATGTCATTAGCATAACACATATTAAATTTTTTTTAATATTCTTAAAAATTTTTAGCCGTTAACGTATTGTATTAACTAGTTTAAATATTTTCTATTATTTCATTAATTAACCGACCCCGCTTTGTTTGTGTAACACCCAGAAGGAAACGTCGGAGACCCTATAAAATATATATATAAATGATCAGCATGATGAGCTGAGTTGATTTAGCCATGTCCGTCTGTCTGTATATATACAAACTAATCCCTCAGTTTTTATGCTATCGATCTGAAATCATATATATATATACATATCGATCACCCGTCCTTTTCTCACAAAGAAGCTGCTCATTTGTCGGAACTACCGATATCGGACCACTATAGCATATAGCTGCCATACAAACTGAACAATCGGAATCAAGTGTTTGTATGAAAAACTCTTTCATTTGACGAGGTATCTTCACGAAATTTGGCACGGATTGTTATTTAAAGCAACAATTTTAAAACCGAAGAAATTATTCAGATCGGGTGACTATAGCATATAGCTGCCATACAAACTGAACAATCGGAATCTAGTGCTTGTATGGGAAACTCTTTCATTTGATGAGATATCTTCACAAAATTTGGCATGGATTATTATTTAAGGCAGTAATCTAATCGCCGAAGAAATTGTAAAGATCGGATGACTATGACATATAGCTGCCATATTAACTGAACGATCGGAGTAAAGTGCTTGCATGGAAATTTTTTTTATTTGACGAGGTATCTTCACGAAATTAGACACGAGTTCTTGCTTAAAGCAACAAATTATTCTCCGCAGAAATTGGTCAGATCAGATCCCTATATCATATAGCTGCCATACAAATTGAACGTTCGGAATCAAGTTCATTTAAGGAGCCTTTGTATTTGTGAAGCGTATTATAGCTTCGGTACAACCGAAGTTAACGTTTTTTTTTGTTTTTTTATACCTTCAACTAATTCCTCTTTAGTGGAATACTGACGAATCGAAAACTTTGCTAGACTCCCACTGCATTAAAGTCGTCACTTTTTCTTTTGTCTTTTCATAGTGTTGCAATCTGGCCACTCACATCTTTTTCGTAAAGTTTAACATTTTTGATGTTATATATACTCAGTACGTTTTCACATACGAGCGCTAATTATGTTGTTTACAGTGACTTGAAATATTCATCTCGGCCAAAAAATGGAATTAAATCGCGAACATATTACCGCGATTATTTTTTACAACTTTCGACGTGGATTAACTCAGCAACAGTGCATCGATAAACTTAATTATATTTTACGATGAAGCTCCATCAAGAACCAGTGTTTATCGATAGTATGCTGAATTCAATCGAGGTCGTAGATCACTACAAGACGACTTTCGTGAAGCAAAAGTGCTCCGACATTTGGTTCTAACGTAAACCAAAATGTTAAAGTAAAAGACTTAAAGGCCATGTGCTTTGGTGCAAAATGTAATCGTGTTTCTTTACGTGGTTGTTTTTTGCTTAGTTTTAGTAGTTTCAAATATGGAGCATTCTTTAGCACTCTTTGAACTCTTTTGACGGCAGATTCATGAGAGTTGGAGGTTTTTCACAAAATTTTTCTCTTGTTAACATCGGAAAACACTTGATTGGTTCCGCCTTTAATATTTCGACCGTACTTTGACTTATCACGCAAGAAATTGTATATATGTATGTACATAGTATGTATGTAAATTCTCGATTTCTGCCAACTTTTTTTTATATTTCAATTATTAAATTCTGTAACTCTTCTTAAGCTTTTAAAAAGAACAAAAAATTGTAAAAACCATATGACGGGACATTCCTATTCGTATGTTTTCTTAACCACTGATTGATTATACAAAGATGAAAAAATCAGAAAACAATAAAGTAGCTACAAGCTACGGCAGACTCTAAAACCACTAAAACCCCACTGGTACTCTCTGCAAGTTGAAGGAGCTATTTTTGGAGGGTATTTATCACAAAAAATCTTCAGACACAAAAAAACGTTTTGCCCATGAAAGCCAAAGTAAAACCAGATGATGTAATTTACATTCCAAATATCTAAATAACTAAATTGTGTCAATGTACCCATGAAAGCCAAAGTAAAACCAGATTATGTAATTTACATTCCAAATATCTAAATAACTAAATTGTGTCAATGTAAACACTGTATAAGTAAGGAAGGGCTAACTTCGAGTGTAAACGAACATTTCATACTCTTGCAACTAGCCAGAATCAAAGCCAAGGAAATACCTTCAGGTGCATTAAGTTTATTATAACAAAGAAAATCAATATATGTATGTAGTATATGGTAGTTTGGGTAATTTGTGAACCAATTTCACTTTTTTTCGGCATTAAACTATGGTATTTCCTATAATATACGTTCAGTAAATTTTGCTATGGTATCTGACTTATTTGCCGATATATTGAATGCGAATTTCTATAATATATGCCACAGATTGATATTTGAAATAAAATTTTCCCTGTAGGAACTGGGGTCCACATATTGAATAGTTTAATTTCGATTTGGACAATTTTTGGTAATAGGGCAGCGATGCGCCAGGCACTAGTTATGCAATGTTTTATCAATATACAATAGTGCTTGATTTGCATACTGGAAAATGAAAGAACTAGATGGAATTTGAAATTGTATTATATGAGAATTAGACGTGGTTGTAGTTCGATTTCACCCATTTTTGCACTAAAACTTAGAAATGTCAAGATAATATTACATACTAAATTTGGTTGATATCGGTTGAATAGATCTTTTGGTATGGATTTTCACCGAAATGCGGGCTTTGCCACGCTAATAGTCCAATGACCCCGGCTCCTATAAAGTCCTCTTGTATCTAGGAGTAAAGTATCTGTCGTATTTATTTATGATACATCAATAAATTCTAATATCATTTATTCCTAATTTCATCAATTTTTACAGTGCGGGTAAAGGTGCTTAAGGGATTTTTCTCGAGCGAATTTGGTTGTTGTACCTTAAGTGGTTTAGGAGATATGTACATTAAACCTCTTAGCGGGCGTGACCACACTTCTTTTTTTCCAAATTTTGAGTTCGCAGGTGCCCCTTTCTACTGTGATCCCTAGTGCTAAATTACCGTTTTGATATCTTAATTTAGTGCTGAATTATGGCATTTCATAGATTTTCGTTTAACAGCGTTTTGTGGGCGTGACGGTGGTCCGATTACGCGCTCTAGAACTCGCCATTTTGTTTTTGTCAGGGAACATATGTACCAAGTTTCATTAGGGTATCGCAATTTTTACTCAAGTTACAGCTTGCATAGGCAGCCGGACATCCAGATTTCAACTCGTCTCGTCATCCTGATCATTTATATAATATATAATACATAACCTTATATCTAATTCGATTAGTTTATATACTCTGTAGCAACATGTTGCAAGAGTATAAAAATTGTCCTACTACAGAGAACGTATTAAATGCTTTGACTTCCGTTTAAAATCTATCCCAGGGATTGAAATTGATCGAGTTATAAACAAAGTTTCTTATTAAATTCCAAATTCCTCAAAGATCCCATTCCTAATATGGGTGCAAGCACATGTCTCCTCCACATATGCCAATTTAAGTGATTTTCCTTCTTCTTATAAAAAATATAAATAGATTAAATTACCCCTCAGAAACAAATTTAAAATTCTTTGTATTTAATTTGATTGATGCAATATCTTTATTTTTTTACTCAAACAAATATTTATCACTTAAATTATGTATATGTTCTAAATTCACTGATTTCAGGAACTGTTCAGCTGTACTTTAATGAGAAGAGAAGGGGTTTTCCGGAGAAAGAAGCGATTTTTAAATTTTGATCCATTTACTATATCGATGCGTTCCATAATAAAACAAAAAAAGCTAGAAGTGTATAAATATCTCGAAAATCTCACATAACTCTGTCAATAAAAGGGCTTAACTATTTATGACTACACACACACATATAACCAACGAATATTATACTGCTGAGCCTGTGCAAATCGTAATTATTATATAGTGAATATTTATATACATAAGAATAAGCTGACATCCAAAGTGCGAAGAATTAACACTAATATTAAACACAAACACGACCTACCTAACATTAAATTCACTAGTGAGTTTTTAACTTATTATACATGTATAGTATGCGTATACAACGGATTATGTATGTCAGTCGTACTAATTTGTATATACATACATACATACAATCTTCTAAGCTTCACGCACATTTAAACATTCAAATATTTGTAATGCGCTCCGCAAACCATACACACATATGTAGATATGTATACATATTAGCAAATATTTACTAGTTTCGTAATTATTAAATAGATAATAACAAATTGTGTCTATTAAACTATTGTAATATTGCTTTTAATGTGCATGTAACCATCTTTATAACTAATCTAAACTAATTTACACATCTTATTAGTTCAAAGGTATGTTCAATGTGTAAATACCTAGATAATATAATATATGTATTGTACTTACACGGATTAAACTATAAAGTGCGACAATAAATAATCCAATACCGAACGCTAAAAAATTGGTAGCATATTTTTTTATTTCTTAATAATTTTATTCGAGTAAAGTAATTTACAACATTTTATGTGTTAACAGGAGTAATACCTATTTCTATTGTATAATTTAAGGGGGTTAATTCATGTAAACCCAGGCTCATTTTTATAATTTTTATACTCTCGCAACTTGTTGCTACAGAGTATAATAGTTCACCTAACGGTGGTCTGTACCACCTAAAACTAATCGAGTTAGATATAGGGTTATGTATATGTATATAAATGATCAGGATGAAGAGACGAGTTGAAATCCGGGTGACTGTCTGTCCGTCCGTCTGTGCAAACTGTAACTTGAGTAAAAATTGAGATATCATTATGAAACTTGGTACACATGTTTCTCGGTACCGTAAGACGATTGATATTGGAGATGGGCGTAATCGAACCACTGCCACACCCACAAAACACCATTAATCAAAAACAAATAAATTGCCGTAACTAACCTGCACAATAAGATGCAAGACTGTTATTTGGTATACAGGATCACATTAGGGAGGGATATCTGCAGTTCAATTTTTTTTTTTTTAAGTGGGCGTGGTCCAACAGCAACAACGATTATATCGGCGTAAAACTTTGCTTGAATAATACGTTTAAAGTATGCCGCCTTGTTACCAAAAATTATCTAAATTGAACATAAACTGTTCGAGTCCCTAGGTACTTAATATGTGGACGCCAGTGCCTATAGTTGACTTTTTACCGAAAATATCGGTCAACATAGAATAAGGCGGCAAGATCCACAAAGAAATCTAAAACAAGTATACCATTTGACTTTGCGAGAGCATAAAATGTTCAGTTACATCCGAACTTAGCCCTTCCTTACTTGTTTTGATTGGACAGTTAAAATCTATTTTTATAGATATATATATAAAAAGAACGTTACGCACCGAATTTGGTTGAAATCGGTTAAGTAGATCCCAAGATATGGGTTTTCACCTAAAAGTGGGCGGTGCCACGCCCACTGTCTAATTTTGAACGCGGTTCCTATAAAGTTATCACATACCATCCCAGAGATAAAATTTAATATCTCTGGCGTGTTTCGTGCTTGATATATCGCGCTTTTAGGAGTTGCCACCCGACTTCAACTATTTTCACGTTGTAGGTAGAGGTTCTAAAAAAATTTGCTTCCAGCGAATTTTGTTATAATGGCTTTAGCGGTTTAGGATATATGCACATTAAACCTATTAGGGGCGGGACCACGCCCAGTTACAAAAAAAAAATTAACTGCAGATGCCCCTCCCTAATGTGATCCTGTGTACCAAATAACAGTCTTGTATCTTATTGCGGAGCTTAGTTATGGCAATTTATTTGTTTTTGCTTAATGGCGTTTTGTGGGCGTGGCAGTGGTCCTGCAATACCAACCGTCTCCCAGTACCAAGAAACATGTCTACCAAGTTTCATAAAGATATTTCAATTTTTACTGAAGTCAGCGCTTTCACGGACGGACGGACGGGCGGACATTCAGTCACCCGGATTTCAACTCGTCTCTTCATCTTAATCATTTATATATATATAACCCTATATTTAACTCGATTAGTTTTAGGTGATACAAACAACCGTTAGGTGAACAAAACTATTATACTCTGTAGCAACAGGTTGCGAGAGTATAAAAACAATGATACGTCGTTGTATGACATTTAAAGAATATTCTGTTAAATTTTTATGGAAAAGTATTAAAAACTACGGCAAAAGCAGCAATTAATCTGGACCGTCTCGGAAAAAAGTTAAATTACGGGGCTGAAAACTCGGCGCTGGATCATATTAAATCAAACAACTAACGAAGGGCTAAGTTCGGATGTAACCGAACATTTTATACTCTCGCAAAGTCAAATAGTATACTCGTTTGAGATTTCTTTGTGGATTGACTGATATTTTCGGTAGAAGGTCAACTATAGGCACTGGGGTCCACATATTTAGTACTTAGGGGCTTGAACAGTGTTGGTTCGATTTAGACAATTTTTTTCCACAAGGTGGCATACTTTAATCGCATTATTCACGCAAAGTTCTATCCCGATACAGTCATTGTTGCCTGATTTGCATAGTGGAAAGTATAAGAATCAGATGAAATTGAAAATGGTGTTATATGGGAAATAGGCGTGGTTGTAGTCCGATTTCGTCCATTTTCGCACTATGACATAGAAATATGAAAAGAACGTCATGCACCGAATTTGGTTCAAATCGGTTAAGCAGATCACAAGATATGGGTTTTCACCTAAAAGTGGGCTGTGCCACACCCACTGTCTAATTTTGAACGCGGTTCCTATAAAATCATCTCATGCCATCCCAGAGATAAAATTTAATGTCTCTGGCGTGTTTAGTGCTTGATTTATCGCGCTTTTAGTAGTTTTTAACAGTACCGTTATATGGGAAGTGGGCAGAGTTGCCACCCGATTTCTTTTTTTTTCACGTTGTAGGTAGAGGTTCTAAAAAAAGTTGCTTCCAGTGAATTTTGTTATAATAGCTTTAGCGGTTTAGGATATATGCACATTAAACCTATTAGGGGCGGGACAACGCCCACTTAAAAAAAAAAAATTTAACTGCAGATGCCCCTCCCTATTGTGATCCTGTCTACCAAATAAGAGTCTTGTATCTTGTTGTGGAGCTTAGTTATGGCAATTTATTTGTTTTTGAATAATGGCGTTTTGTGGGCGTGGCAGTGGTCCGATTACGCCCATCTGCAATACCAACCGTCTCACGGTGTCAAGAAACATGTCTACCAAGTTTCATAAATATATCTCAATTTTTACATTACATAACCCTATATCTAACTCGATTAGTTTTAGGTGATACAAACAACCGTTAGGTGAACAAAACTATTATACTCTGTAGCAACAGGTTGCAAGAGTATAAAAATCATGGGGGTGAGGGGATTTAGAAATTAAAATTTTTCACTTTTTAGAACACTTCGAAGGAAAAAAAACAAAGTTATTATTGTAAAATGAAAAATATTACCTCGAAAATTATGTGTAAAAATAGTTTTCAAAATTTCAAAACGATCAGTGCAGTAGTCACGGGAAAGCGCTTTGAAGTTTAGGACTCTAAAAAAACTGATGTAAAACTTTCGTACAATAATTGTAAAAATACTCAATTACTCATTCGACTTGAAATTTAGACACAACATTCTTGAGATACATATATTATATATTTTTTTAATTTTACACATTTTTAAAACGATAACAATGTTTGATAGCACTAGTTTTAAAAACTATTGTACTATGTAGTACTTGTACTATTGTACTAGTTTTATAAACTA